AAAAAAAAAAAAAAAAGGACCAGTCTTCATGGTCTGATAGAGACTGGTGGAACCCGAGATTAAGGCCTTTGGGCACGATTTAGGCCTGGACTCAACTTTCAGCCAAACAACAAACAAGCTTATAAGGTGAACAATAACACCAGGGAGGAACATACTCATTAGAACAATCAACTATTTGAGGTCCAAAGGGCATTTGCCCAGGAATAAAGCTCAGAAGGCAAGAAGGGATAGGAAAGGAGGACAGAGGGACAGGGAAAAGACAGAGAGAAAGTGGGAGAGTGAAGCTGTTACATTGTGGGGACTGCAGTCAACGGCATAAAACAGAATGTGTATGAATTGTTGAATGAAAAACCAATTTGCTCTGTAACTTTCCTCCAAATCACAATAAAAACTTACCAAAAACAAACACTTTAGAGGATGCTAGAGAACCAATTTGTTATTGTGAAAACTGACAAAGCTGAAGAAACCCATATTTTAGCCTGCCTTTCCTGCTTCAATTGTACCTGACGGTAATCAATTGAAACGGTAAACAATTGAAAGGAAATTCCTCTTTATTGAAGGATTTTCAGCAAATAAATGAAAAAGAAATGATAGGAACAGAATATCACCATTTTGGAAGCCCTAATGAGTTAAACTGTTATATTTATTGGGCTGCAACCAGTAAAGTCCAGAGTCTACAAGGCAAAAAAAACCTGGTTTCTTCAACAGAAAAATTACAAGGAAAAATGAAAAAAAGATGGAGGAAGCTCTGGTGGTGCAGTGGCTAAAGCACTTGGCCACTAGCCCAAAGGTCAGTAATTCAAACCTACCAGCTATTGTGTGGGATAAAGATGAGGCAGTCTGCTTCCGTAAAGATTTACAGCCTTGGAAACCCAATGGGGGCAGTTATATTCTGTTCTATGAGGTCGCTATGAGTGGGAATAGATTTGATGGCAATGGGTTTTGCAGGAGACATATGAACTGATCACAGTGTATGCACCCATGTGATCTCAGTTCAAAAATGCAACTTATTCAAAAAAGAATAAAAGAAATACGAACACTTGCTAGATACCCAGTAATTTAAGGAATCACTCTTCTGTTTTTTTTTTTTTTTTTAAGATATAATAATGGTACCGAGATTAGGTCTTCTTTGTAAAGTCATTATTTAGAGACACCTGCTGAAACATTTAGAGATGAAATATATCAGGTCTGGGATTTGCTTCAGACAGATCTGGGGCCCATTACTCATTGCTGTCAAGTTGCCTCTGACTCACAGTGACCCTACAGGACAGAGTTTCCAAGGCTGCAATATTTATGGAAGCAGACTGCCACATCATTCTCCTGTGGAGCAGTTTGCAGTGGAGCGCTTAACTGCTGCACCACCAGGGCTCCTTGATCTGAGGCAGAGGGGTTTTGCGTGGGTGGGGGGTGGAGGAATGGAGGTGGGCCATGACTGATCACTTCTGCAGCTGGGAGCTGGGTCCATGGGGCTCTAGGCTGACACATGCAAGAATGTGACCTGCCAAGGATGTAGAGGTCAGAGTGGCCTACAGGCAGGCAACGACAGTGGAGTTGGGGGCTATGGTGAAGGGAGCCTAGCACTGACTCCACGTGTGCTCTGGGCCAGGCCAAGACAATCCTCTCCCCCACCTCCAGTCATGGCAATTACTGTCCCATTCTACCTATGAGTCGGAATTGACTCAATGGCAGTTGGTTTGGTTTTGGGGTTTTACTGATAGGGAAACTGAGGCTGGGGAGAGAGTATCATTTCAGGGTTGAGTGCATTCAAATCAAGACTCTGCCACTTAACCAGTCTGGGCCACCTTCAGCCAGGATTTTACCTCTCTAAACCTCAGTTTCCTCGTGTATAACATGGACTGAGATTTAAAGGAATGGATACCTATATCCTGCTGAGCACAGTCTAGAGCCTGGCATTTAATAAATGCTCAAATAATGGCATCTAAGGCATTTGACTGCTAACTAGAAGGTTCAAACCCACCAGACACTCCTCAGAAGGAAGACTGGGCAACCTACTTCCAGAGAGACGCCACCTCGGAAACCCAAGGAGGGGTTGCTATGAGTCTAATCAACTCGATGGCAGTGACTTTTTTTTTTTTTTAAATAATATCATTGTTGTTGTTATTGCTATTATTCTTGAACAACGTAAGAAACCTACTTAGTTAACGCTAGGAGCAAAGCTGGGATTTTAGCCTTCATCTCTCTGATTCCCCTAGACTGCTATCCATACCTGTGGGCAGAGCCTAGGTCCAACAGCTGTCCTGAGCAGGAGGGCTGAGCCTGAGTCCACAGATTACGAGGTGCCCGTGGATCGGGGCTGTGTCTGAGGTTTGTCCTCTTATTGACTTGACCCAACCTGAGCTTATGAAGTCTGACAAGTGCACAGGGAAGTACAGCTGTGGTCACCTGCAGAGCCTTGCTCAGCAATCACCTCCAGCCTCGAGGAGAGAGAAAATTTTCATCCCCCAAGAGGCTGGAGGTGGGAGCCGCTCATGCCTAAACACAGAGACACCATGCCAAGGGCTAACAAAATGGTTCAGTGTCCAGGCACTATGCTGGTCATAGTGGAGAACCCCCAAATCACTGTTGTGTCTGGAAGGACGAGAATCCATTTCAAGTCTTGCAGACTACTTCTAGCTGTGTGACTCTGAGAAGGCCATTCCCCTTTCCTGAGCCTTGGTTTCCCCTGGCTGCCAAATGAGAAAACCACAGACCTCACAGGCTGGCCATGAGGAGGTGACACACGGAGTGCTAGCTGATGTCTGTGTCTGAGGTCACGATGCACAACAGAGTCCCTGAGCCTCGGCTGCTGGGAGAGCCAAGTTGCTCATAGACACTTACTTATCCAGGGTCCGGGAGTCATCAGTGTACTCGGGGAGGTCATTCAGGTCTTTGGGGGAGGCAGAGATCTGGTGAGGGCTGATGGGTAATGCCTGGCCATCCTTCCCCACTACCTCCAAGCCTGTGAGCCCCAGGTAGTGTAGGTCTCCCCAGGAGGCAGTGAGATTCAGCTGAAGGCCTGCAACAGGAAGCAGAGCAGCCATGAGGACCGGAAGCTCCAGAAGCAAGCACAGGAGGAGGAATCTTCAACCTCTACATTCCATCCACTTGAAAACTCAGCCTCACCCATGAGTTCCCTGGGATGGGCTCTGCCCCTTTCTTGTCACAGGCCCTCAGGCCGGAGCACTGCTGATGCTCAGGAAATGTCTGCAGGATGAGTGGAGCAGTGTTGGATAAGCCTGCACATGGCCTTGGGTTTTTCCCACCTACCAGATCATGTCAGCATGCCTCACATAACACCTGTGTGTGGTTTCGCATACTGCTTGGCCAATAAGGACTTGCCCACCTGGCTTCTATTTACTTCTCCAGCCTCATCTTGTACCAGGGACCTCCCAGCCCCACCCAGCATCAGCCACACAGGCTCTTTCAGTTGCACATACATATCCCTTTCTCCCATCACAGGGCCTCTGCATATGCCGTTGTCCCCCTCTGGAACTCCTACGGCCTGCTTTCACCTGTACTCATCCTTCAGATCCCGGCTTGCTGCCTCAGGGAAACCCTCCTGACCTCTTTGCCCAGGTCAACCCTCTGCTGACAGCCTGTAATGTCACTGTAATCGTCCCCTTCTAAGCCCTGGTCACCAATGTGATCTCATGAACATGTGGTGAATATCCATCTGCCTTGCCAGATAATGCATTGAGGGCAGAAACTTCATCTGTTCTTCTTCACCACTGTGTCCCTATAATGACTGGCACATAGTAGGAGCTCAGTGCAGATTGGAAGATTCAACAAATAACTAAATGGAGGCAGTTTACATCAGTCAGCCACACACTGAAAATAGACATTTTAGGCACATCGCCCCCATTGTGGGGATTAACATGGCATTAGGGTAAAGGTCATGACCAATGACCTATGGTTGTAAACTTTTGCCCTTGTCCCATTCCTATGCCATCAGAGACCATTTAGAATGACCTTCCATGGCCCTGGGGCAAGACGGCCCAGGTAAGTCATTCATTTGCTCAGAGAGCTCACACTAAACGCCTCTTTTAGCCAAGCCTTGTCAGACGTCTGGCTGGAACTTCTGTATCCTTAAGGATCGCCTCATTAGAGTAGGACCAAGCCAAATGAGCTCTCCTACACTTGGGGGTATTAATAGCCTATTTTAACTATTCAGTATTTTCCGTGGCTGAGCTAAAAAGATTCATACTCTACAATTTTCACAGAACTCACACTGTAAAGCTGAAAGAAGGAACCCTGGTAGCAGCTAGTCCCACCCCGTTTCAGTCTGGACGAAGAACCAGAAGCCCAGAGAAGCTAAAGGGCATCCTTGTGGCTACAAAGTGAGACCATGTCACTTCACCTCCCTGGAGCATGGTTTTCTCTCCTATGCCACCATCACTTCCCAAGGTAACTTTTGTAATTCCAAAGACCCTGATATGCATGGTACCAAACACAGAGACACCAAGGTACCAAGGTAATTCTGAGCATTGTGGGGGCAAGTGAAAAAGAACTGTTACCAACACAGTACCAGTTCATCCTATCATCTCACAGCTAAATCCTGGTAGAGTGCAAAAATGGCCACAAATCCCTCGCACCCCAGTGTCCCTGTCCTTTTGTTATGTAACTTTGCCACCTTTCCCATGCAGAGACGGAGCCTTTCTCCAGTGCTTGAATCTGGACCGTGTGATTTCCTGTTGGGAGGGCCAAGAGGACAGAAAACATGGTACAAGCAGAAGTTTGTAAAGCTCTTGTGAACTGAGACTTACCCTCTCTTTCTACACTTGGACTCTTGAGACCACCATATGAAGGACATGCTGGCCCGTAGGATGATGAGAGACAAGAGGCCCAGTTGCCCCTGTCAATTGGCTAACAGCTCCTCCGTAGCCAGACATGCGGGTGAGGCCATCCTAGATCATTCAGCTGCCAGCCTACCTGCCAGCTGACTGTAGATACATGAGCATACCCAGTAGAGCCTAGCCAGGCCAATGCAACCAATGTACTGTGTGATGAGCTAAATAAATGGGGGTTGTTCTGAGCCACTAAATTTTGGGTTTCATTTGTTTGGCAGCAAATGCTAACTGATACACTTCTCACCATGGGTCTAACTGTCTTCTCCTTAGAGAAAGCTTCTCTAACTACCCAAGCTCTATGCCTTTACCCAGCTTCATCTTTTGTTCATAGCACTTGTTACTACCCGAGAATATAGTCTACACTTTTTGCTTGTTTTTGTGTCCCTCCCACTAACATAGAAGCTTCCTGAGGGCAGAAATTCTGTTGTTTTGTTCATAGCTATGTCTCCAGTATGTCTCCAGAGCCTAGAATAGTGCCTGGCAATTAGGTGTTCAATACATGTGGTTTTATATATATATATATATATATATATATATATATATATATATATATATATATATATATATATATATATATATATGATTGAAGAGTAGGTGTTCGGTACCTATCTACAAGTGAAGGAACCATAATAAAACCACTGGGTTTCACCAAATGCATGGTCAATGCCAAACACACATTGATTAGCATCTACTATGTACCTGGTCCCATTCTGTTTCCAGGGTAAACAAGAGACCAAAATCTATGGCGCCAAGGAGCTTTCACTCCAGCAAAGACAGACAATATGGACACAGCAAATAAATGAATATAACAGTTTCACAGACGTGGACTACCACGACAAATAAAACAGAGATGGGCTGGCGAGTGGCTGAGTAAGGGCAGGTTATCAGGGAGGCCCTCCTTGAGAGGGTGACATTTGAGCTGAGACTTGGCCATATGCATGTTTTCATTTGGAAGAAGAATATTCTATGCTGAGAGGACAGCAAGGGCAAAGGCCCCGACATGGGGACAAATTTGACCCATGTCTGGAACCAAGTGACTGAGGGAGAAGGTGGAGAAAACGAGATCAGATAGTTGGACAGAGTCTAGCTCACATCCAGAAGTTTGAGTTTTCTTCTCAGTACAATGGGAAGTTACTGGAGGGCTCCATTTTCCAGCAGGGCAGGGACATGTTCTGATTTGCATCTTAGCAAGCTCACTTGGCTTGCTGCAGGGAGGATGGGGGATGGACTCTATAGGGAGGCTGAGGACACAGCTGTTCCCACAGACAAGGACAAGGGTGGAGGTGATAAACACGGGGAGAAGTAGATGGATTCAGGATCTGTTTTGGAGGCAGCCTTGCCAGGTCTTCTCAATGTCTGGAGATGTAAGTGAGGGAAGAGAAGAGGTTTTTGACCCAAGTGACAGAATGGCCAGGGTACTATTCCTGGAGACGGAGGAAGCCTGGATTAGGATGAGAAGGATCATTGTGGAGGGAGAAATACCACCTCTCCTTAGGAAAACAAACAAGATGGCGTGGTGAGCCTGATGCCCCTTTGGCGGCTTGGCAAAGCACTGCAGTTCCATATCTAACATGGGGCTGCTCTGAAAGCGACTCTCTCCTTTTTGAGCTAATTCTGTTCCATATTCATTTTCCTCTTGTGTATCAACTAGTATTTATACAAATGGAAATTAATTTTGTTATTTCTCTTCCATGCTTCCAGCCTCTCAGCTCCTTTCCTATTCACCACTGCTGATATTTGCAAAACTTCCAACACTAGTGTCATGTGCAAATTAGCAAGTCATGTATCTCCTTTCAAAACATTAATAGCATTGGCTGTATTTACCAACCCCAACACATCCCCCGGGTCACTTTATTAAAGCTGTCTCCATTTGCACAGGCTGCTGAGGTGGGTTTAGGATTTTGGAAACAGTGAGGAAAAAGCCAAGGGTTCAGAGAAGAGAGATTCAGAAATCATGGGCCTCAAAACAAGTGCAGAATGCTTGGCTGTGAGTCCCTTCTGCTGTCCTACTGAGATGAGGAGAGAAATCATACTTTCATTTCACCAAAAAGGTCTCCGAGCTTGACTCCAGGGCAAAATTCCCCAAGGCACTGAAATAACATTTCTGAGAAAGGTCAGAAGACTGTTCAGTGGGAGAGACATTTACAGAGCAGCATCTTTGGGGAAACCATCAAACGAAGGAGACCACGGTGGCCTCTGACTGGCCAGCATTTGTTCCTTCTTGTGGTGACCACTCTGACTTCCTATGGAGAGCATCCCTACTCATTGCTCACAGCTCAGATGCCAACCCCTCCCCCTGGCTCCAGGGTGGCTGGCACATGACCCAGGCCTGGCCAATCCATTTTCCATCTCCTAGCTGCCTCCCTCTCCTGCCACGGTGAGCCACAGGGATTGGTTCAAGGACTAGCTGTGACCCAAGCTTGGCCAAGGAGACTCGGAGGACTGTTGAACCTGTTGGGAAATGGAAGTTCTCTTTAATCAGGGATCTCTGGGTGTAAGGTGGACATAACCCAGAGCTTCCAGCAATTTCTCATGGACAGAGCCGAGGTGGGAGAAAGGAAAAAGAAAGGAAAACTGCAGAGAGACATAGAGAGATGCTAAGTCTTAATGACACCATTTGTACACATGGATCCAGCCATCCTGGAAACTAGCAACCTTGACCTTTTTAGTTGCATAAACCAATAAATGCCCTTTTTTGACTCATCTCAGTCTGAATTCAGTTTCTATTGCTTAAAAAAAAAAGAATCCGGGCCAATGTAGAGAAGACCAAACTGAACAAGAAATGACTGCTGTCTTCTCACAACCTAGTAGGGAAACTCTTTGCACAAAGGTATCTGATGAGAAGCATCACACAGACACTCAGGCAGAGCCCCAAGGCACTGTGGCGAAGTAGCAAGGACACAGGCTCTGAATTCAGACATGCCTGCCCTCTTCTTGTTTGTAGCATGAGCTGTGTGACCTTAATCGCAATCTCTCTGAGCCACAGCTTCCTAACCTAACTGGAAAATGGGGCTAATAAGAGCTGACTCATGAGGCTGTTGTCAGTGTTCAGTGAGATGCGGGAGGGAAAGGCGCAGCACCGAGCCACCAGCCAGGCCCGTGCCTCACATTCGGCAGTTTTTAGTCACTGTGTTGCTCTAGAGCAGTTGAGACAGCAGACCATAAAGGGCTGTAAGGACTCAAACTAAGGCAACTTCTCTTTCCTAAGACGTAATTGATTCCTTTGGAGTGGGTGAGGGAGAGGACTTTTCACTGCGGACCACAGGGGCTTCCCAGGGAGGATTTGGGATTGCAGCAGGGCCTAGAGGAGGGGTAGAGAGGATGCTGAGGGGCCTGGTCCAGCCCTCACATAGCGCCCCCCCAGGCCTGAGGACTCATTCTTCCAGGGCTGGGAGTACTGGTGGTTGACAGCATAGAGCTGCACGCCCCACTGTGACGGCCCCTAGCTGAACAGCGCCTCCTTGCAAAAGGTCATGCCCGCTCCCAACGGGAAAGGCAATGTGTGCTGAGAGAGGCCAGCCCCCTCACTCAGCTCAGGTCAACTTCAAAGGGCCATCCCTGATTCCAAGCTCCCTGAGGGGTGGGTTGAGGCCCAGATGTAACTAGGCAGCAGCCACAGCCCAATGTCTCCTCTGCCCAGCTCTGCTTCCTTCCTTTCCTTGAGACGTGTGGCTCCCACGAGCTCTCCAGTGAGCTACCTGCATGCTAGCCCCCATCTCAGAGCCTGCTTCTTGGGGACGTACCTAGAGCCAGGGCGGTCTTCTGCAGGCAGAGATCGAGAGGAAGGGCATGCCAGCCAAGGGCTCAGTTGGCACACCCACACCTCCAAGAGTTCAGACATGAGTGTGGGGAGGAATGTAGCAAGAGATAAGGCCAGGACTTGGAGATATTCTGGAGACAATGGTTGGGCAGTGGGAGAGGGAGCATGACAATGTCACATCTGTGTGTTCAGAAGATAACTGGAAGCAGGTGACACACATAGGGAAAAAAGAGCAGGGTCATGGTACTACCAGGAGTAAATCGACAGACCCTTGTTAACAGGGAACAGGCAAGGAGATTCCAGAGTTGGCTGTGGTCCTGGGCTTGAGATTCCCCAGGTCACAGCAGTGCTGACATGGACCTGTGTGGATTGAGAGACGACCTGGTTGGAAGGTAGATGGAAAAAGGAGAGAGATGAACAGACACAGCTGACACCTAGAGGCCCGAAACTGGCAGCCTGTTGGCCGAATACACAGTATGTGTTTTGTTTGGCTCATTTAGTGTTTTAACATTAGAAAATTAATCACCATTTAAAAAATGGAGATTTCATAACAAAATCTGGTTTCTGACTTCTGAGAAATCAGAGGCCCCAGTAGCCTGGCTCATAGTCCTACTTGCCCACCTCACAAGGAGCAGCTGGAGGCAGGTTTTTCACTAATGTAAGGTCTTTTCTATATATCCTCTTGTTCTATCCAACTGCAGCCTCCTAGGTCAGGGCCACAGTGAACACATGAAGCATCTGCATGCAAAACACAAAACTGTTCTAGGAGGGCAAATTGCAAAGAGGTGCCCTTCCACTGAAGTGGTGCAGCCGTGCCAGGGCCAGCAAGCCACGCACAGGCTGGTTTCAGCCCCACTTGCCCTGATTTGGAGTCTCTGAGCAGTGTACGACCCGCTCAACTGTCCGAGGAAGCCCTGTTCCCAGTGGCTACCCCTCTCCCACCACCCTTGAAGTTCCTCCTGCCTTTGCCCCTGGCAAGGATACTCACAGAGCCCATGGTACACGCCTGGCTCTGGTGTGGTGACTTCGGGGACGGGAGGACTGGGTGACAGCTCTGGCTCCGGGACCTGTTCACCAGTTGGGGGAGAAGCAGAGGAAAAGGGGTTATTTCAATGATACCCACATGGCCGGCTGGCGGCCCACTCCAGGCCCCAGATAAGTCACTGTGTCTTTTCTCGATTTTTCTGCCTTCATGGAAGCTCCATGTCTAGAAATATGGGCAGGACAGATACCCTTGGTTTGAATCCTTGCCAGTAGTTCTTACTGGTAGGGGAGGAGCTTGAAGTTTAGATTTTCTTGAACAGGGAGTAACCCAATGAATGCTGATTAAACAAGGAAGGAAGGGAAGAAGAAACAGAGGGAAAGAGTGAGGAAGGGAGGATTCAAACATAGACGGTGGTTCTCAATCTCCAGGGGTAGGGCCTGAGCATCTGCATTTTTAAAGCTTCCCAGGTGATTCCTATGTGTAGCCATGATAACGAACTCCTCATTTAGAGACTGTCAAAAGCATGCTACCACAATAGAAAAAGAAGCACACAGGAAAAGGGTAGCCAGAGGGAGGAAGTGGGAAGAGAGCTGTTACATTATGGGGATTACAGTCAACGTTATGAAACAAAATGTGTATGACCTGTTGTATGGAAAATGAACCTCTAAACTTTCACCCAAATCACAGCAACAACAACAATAATAGTAAAAGAAGGATAACAAAAGTGGGCTACTGCATCCTTCTTGGTGAAGAGGGAAAGGATCCCACACATAACTTTTGCCTGTTACACTTTTGCACCATAGGCAAAAAGGCACCTTCTCTATTTTACCCACAGGAAAGTTGAGATGGAAAAAGAAGTGAAGTTCCCTTGTCCAGATTGTAGAGCTTCAGTTTCAGTGACAACCTGATGAGTTCCACGACCAGCCCCAAGGGACAACCTTTTCAGGCCCCACCCTGGAGGGGGGGAGGAGGAGGAAGAGCCTGCTGGTTACTCCTGAAGCTGAGCAGCCCCGGGCTCTTGGGAAACCTGCTGCCCCAGAGCCCCCTGGGCCATGGCCGCACACAGCCTCTTGGGCATTCTTCTGGTGGATGCACTAAACCTGGATCTCAGACAGCAGGAGTAGAGATCCCACCCCACCCCATTATCCCGAGTGGGGAGACCCAGGCACACCACCAGTGCCCCGAGTCTCAGACTCCTTATATTTAAGGTGGAGACAGTGCTCTCTCCCTGCCTGCCATAGCACTGGGTCCCATCAGAGAGTCCTTAGAAGGACAATGCTCGGCAAATACAAGGTCTCAAGGTCTCTACCCTCTGGCGACCATGGTTCAAATCTGGGCCACAGGCTTGCTTTATGTCCTACAGGAAGTATGAAAATATTTTTATTTAGCTGCCAACATTTTTAAATTGGGGAATTTTACATTTAAAAAACCCAGGTTTTGCCGCTCTCTTGGAAAATCAGAAGAACTAGCAGTAATGTGAGCATATTGTCAAGGTAGAGTTGCAGCCACTTTCCTCAGATGTAAAGAGGGACACACACTCCCAGTTCACAGCTGGCTGAACCTCATCACTCTCTATCATCAGGACCAGTGCTCTCCCTGGCTCCTGTCAGCATGTGGTTTGTGGCCCCCAGTAAGCACCATGGGATCTATGCCCAGCCTTGGTCATGGCCATCTCACAGCTTATCTCTCCTTTGGCTTCTAGTTGTCTCACCACCACCACCACCACCTTCTTTAACCAAGGCATTTGACTGCTAACCAGAAGGCTGGAGGTTCAAACCCACTAGCCACTCCTTAGAAGGAAGACTGGGCAATCTATTTTCATAGAGATACTGCCTTGGAAACCCAAGGAGGGGTCACTATGAGTCGGAATCGACTCAATGTTATCTAACCTAACCTGAAGACCCTGGGTTCTCTTCACCTTGATGATTAGTCCTTGACTATGGACTCACCCTTGCTCTGAAGGTCATCCTTCATTTTTCAAAAAGTGTTTATTAATTAAATGGATGGACTTTAACACAGCTATTCTCTCACTATGCAACCTTGGGTAAAGTAACATAACCTGTACAGATGAAATTTTCAAATGCAGAGGCACTCATCTCTGGACAGGAATGGTGGGATCAACATACATTCCCAGGAAGCAAAAGGTCAGGATGCAAACAGTTTGTCCCTAGGAAAAATGTGTATAACCAAATTGGCTGGTGCCACTCACCTATGGAATAAAACTTACTTCCCCGTACACAAATGGCTGACTTTTATATTTCAAAAGACTCCAAAGCTGAGGCTGTATCAGCCACCAACTCTTTACCTTTCCTTTGTTCTCTATGCATAAACGCCCCTAACTTGACAGAGACAATGGAGTGCTCTATGTCTTTACTAAGCACTGCCTAGCTTGGGCTGTATTATTCCTCACTAAAACTCCTTCCCTCCTCACCCCCCCAACTACTAACAGAGAGTGAGATTTCTTCTGAAGTTTCTGGTGTCAGAAGTGGGATTTCAACAGGTTTATCTTTGAGGATCTCTGAAGCATCCAGAAATGGGCATGGTACTTGCTGAGTCACTGTAGGCTTTCTGCTTTTTCAAATTCTCAGGAATCATTTCAAGTAAAAAGAACCTCTGAAATCTGAGCTCTGCTCCCTTGTGTTGATAACTCTTTGAGTTTTACTGTAGATTTGTTTTAGGTTTTATAAGTAAAAGTTTGTTTTAACTGCCATTTAAAATGGGGAATGCCATGTCTAAAGGAAATTTGGAGCCCTCTTTTGGGACTACTGCTCAATATATGAACAATCTATGTTCCTTTATCATGAATGTTCTTCTCTGTCTGTCATAATTCTCCTCAAGACAGTTTGGAAAATAAGTGGTCACTAAGGGGTTCTTATGATCTAACTTTTCTGCACAGTAAGAGAATTGGGACTCCTGGATTAAACATTTACAGTAGGATGCCTATTATGATTGGTATATTGAGGCCTCTAAGCAATATCAAGACAGTAAAACTGCTTCCCTGGAGGACCCTGTTTCTAAATTAAGCAGCATAAAGAATTGCAATATCAAATTTCAGCTCCCATCCCTTCTTTATACCTTTCTTTGCCTTTGTACTCCTCTGATAACACTTTATCCGAACTTCCTTTTTTTTCTCCAGAAAACAAGCAAATAAACTTTTTCCTGAAATGACTTTTAAAATCTGTCCTAGCAGTGATGTCAAAGATTTCTTTCATATCACTTTTGCCCCATGGATATGCTTAGCATTATGAAGCACTGTGAAAGATTTCCCTAAACTCTGTGACAGTGTTTCACTGATATTCATAAGGTTTTTACTGGCCAATTCTTTGAGAAGTGGATGGCCCCTTCCTTCTTCTGAGTGTATTTTAGTCTGGGAGCTCTGCAGAAACCTGTTCATCATGGGTGACCCTGCTGGTATCTGAAACACCAGTGGCACAGCCTCCAGCCTTACAGCAAAACACAAGCCACACAAACTGACAGATGAGTGGTGGAAACTCTGTGAAGACCCCTAAAAATTTCTAAAGAATTTAAAATCCTTGTTGAAGACTACAATCCTGGGCTCCACAACTTTTATCAGCTTGTTTACTGGTCCAGGGAAACCCTATATCAAGCAGAATGAAAACATCCCAAAGACAATTTAGCCTTAAATATTTTATCAACAGCTACTAAGTTGTTGGAAGGCCATGAATAAAAAATTGTTAGAGGCTATCCCTAAAGCTTTTCCTGTGATGGCTTTTAATGTACAAGGAGAAACTATTTAGTAATGGAGAAACTTGCCAATTTTTAATTGACACTGGAGCCACCCTGTCTGCTATTAATCCCACCTGTTTACAAAAGCCTTTGCCCTGGAGTACTAAAACCTCAAAAGTGGTGTGGGTCACCAATCAGGAACAAAGGCTGATTCATTCTCAACCTGTTCTGATATCTCTTGGTCCTACTGAAGATTAACAACTTTTTATTTTTATTTTTGCTTAGTTCTGATACCCATGTCAATCCATTGAGAAGAGATCTTTTATGCAAATAGGACTGCCATTTACAATTTAAAGAAAAGAGAGAAATACTGAGTCTGTCTGATATCCCTAAGTCAACAGAGAAAGGCTGTGTATTAGACAATATTCAGGAAGAGCAATATGCAAGTTCTTGTTATGCCTCTACTCAGTCCTCATTCTAGTCCTCTCCTTTTGATATCTTTTCCATAGTTCCTGAAACCTTATTGGCTCCCACATCTGCAGATGTAGGTCAAGTTTTTGTCAGCTGAGCTTTTAAAATTCAAACAGATTTATTTAAACCTCTGCCAGAAATTCCTCAGTATCCATTCAAATGAGAGGCAAAAGAAGGGCTATCCCCTATTATACAAGATTTCCTTTCTAAAGGTTTAATTGTCCCTTGTGCCAGCCCTTGTAATACTCCTTCCAGTTAAAAAACAAATAGTGTCTGGAGATTTGTTCAAGATTTGCATGCAATCAATTGGATTGTTATTCCTAGATTCCCAGTAGTACCTAATCCTCATTTATTACTTTCCAATGTTCCATCAGATGCAACTCATTTTATAGTTGTAAGTCTTTATACCAACTCTTCCAGTATTCCTCTGTATTTTGAAAATCAGTATTTGTTTGCTTTACTGGCTTGGTGGTGGGGGCGGGGCAGGGAAAAATCAACAATTTACCTGGACTGTAATACCTCAAAAATTCATTGAATCCTACCTCTTTTCCCTCAGGCTCTGCAAGCAGATTTTCAGGCTTTAATAGTTACTAACAAAATCCACATCACTGCAATATATTGATAATTTGCTAGTCTGCTCAATCAGCAGGCCTGCCTTGATGACAATGTAGCTTTATTAAAACATCTGGCTGCTGGTGAATATGTGGTCTCCAAAGAAAAATTACAAGTAGCTCAGCCATTTGTTAAATATTTGGGCAACCTAATTTCTGTAGCCACCACTTATAAGCTTGTTGGAATGTGCTGGCTTGTGTGTTGTGATGCTGGGAACTATGCCACTGGTATTTCAAATACTAGCAGGGTCATCCATGTGGACAGATTTCAGCAGAGCTTCTGGACTAAGACAGACTAGGAAAAGGGATGTGG